TTTTTATTTATTTTCTATGAATTTTTTAAGTCTGAAATTTTCCCCCTGTGGGGAAAATTTCAGACTTGATCCAAAATACTTTTTAAACGTTTCTTAATATAAAAATTATTCTACACGTGTTGTTAATTGTATATTTACTTGTATTTTTATGAACTGCGTTTTAATAAACTTTATATTTTTGTTCATGATAATTTATTCGAAAATTTTTCTTTTTATATTAAAAAAAGGTTATCAAATTACCATGCCCAATTAAAATGTTGGATCTAATTGGTCATCAACCTCACTGATTGTGACAAAAATATTAAATGTTTTTGACATATTAAAGTTTATTAAGAAATACAAAATTAAAACATTTTAATATTTAAAAATAGTATAATTTTAAAATCAAGTGCAAAAATTGAAATAAAAAGCTAAAAGGATATTTTAAAAAAGTTTTTAACATATGATTAATTGGTTTAGCGGTGTAATAGAATCATTAGTTAGTGATCCTGTAGAAGACCTGATAGAATTTCTGCGCATCAAAGGCATACTCGAAGGGTGTGTAAAGTGTGAAACATGTCTTTTAGACATGAAAACAAAGACATACACTTGAAAAAGTGCTGGTGTGGCGTTTAAATGTTGTAATAGAAACTGTAATGTTTCTTTATGCATGTTTCAATACGCATCGAGTCACTATTATCAGGTTTCACTGTACTACTGAGAAGCATATTATTAGTAGTTTGTAAATGGTTTAATAACCATACTCATGCATTGAGGTGAATATTGGGAAAAAGTCAATTATTAAAATTATTGATTTACTTCGTAATCAATCTTTTAAATATGAGACTAAAAATCCAATTTGCTTGTTGGAGATGGTATACATGTCCAAATACATAAAGTTTGTTTAGACACAAACAGAGCTACTATCGAGGTAGACAACCAACAAGAGAGATTTTAGTATAAGACTAGCTGATTGTTCATTCACCCCGGCAAAAATCTCGTTACATATTGTTCCTAACAGGTCTGCTAACACTCTACTATCAATAATAGAACGAGTTTGTGCCCCAGGTATAATAATCTACAGTGATCAGTGGAGGGCATATTTAGGCATAAGTAGTAGATTAAGGTTTGCACATTTCACTGTTAATTACAGTGAAGAGTTCGTAAATCACAATAATGATATTCATACTCAGAATATCGAAAGTGTGTGGAACAATTGCAAATATACTATTAAAACACATAAAAGAATTGTAGAATATAAATTACATTAATTTTATCAGAATTAACTTGGAAGAATAATTTAGGTTTAAACAAGACATTAGATGATTTATTGAAATTATTGAGTTTTATTAAATTAGTTTTTTATTTATTTTTTTCACTTTTTTTTCTTGTAGAAAAATTTTTGCACTTGATCCGAATTTTAATTAAAAAAAGAACAAATCAAACTTTTTATTAAATATTAATATTATG